AAATTCGTTGTTGTTACTTTTTTTTGTGGGACATACTTTTTGAAAAAGTTTATTTTTTGGTTGTCGCTCATCAATTTCATCTTCCAAGACTGTTTCTTCAGACACCTTATGCTTGTAATATACTCTTGAGGATGGTTCAAATTGAATAGTCTTCCAATGTGTGCCCCATCAAAAAGTCCTAAAGATATCTATCATTTTTATAGCAAAACGTTTGAAGCACTTGTCAAAAAGGGTCAACAAATCCGAGAAAATACAGTAAACCAAAGTTTATTAAGAAAGATCTTGAGAAAACTGGACCGATCAATTACTAGTGTCGCATTTACGCAACTGAATATCGAATTTCAGATGAAAAAAACTTTAGACGGATACTTTAATGTGTGTCACGGGAAAAATAATCTGTTTATACACGATAAAAGTCGTGGTAAATTGGTTTGTCCTTTCATAACCGTCTGACAAAAATGTATCTGTAAAAATAGCTGATTGCAGGATCGGACTGGTATACATAACACAGTTGACTTCATTTAAAGACTTCCACATTTTTAATTTTTATGGTATTCAAGAATCCAACCTGACCATTTGGAGGGAATGTTAGAATTTATTATTTCAACTTCAAAACAGTTCAACAAAGAACAACGTCTCATCTGTAACTAGACTAAACCCTACCACATTTTGTGGACGAAAAAGCAGTTATTTTTAAAAAATGTATCAAGGTGAAAGTATTGAAAATATAAAAAGTAAAACTGGAACGACTCACCAGAAATATAATACTCTTCTCGATGCGCGTTTCACCAAACAAATTGGTGTCTTCAGGGGATGATGAAAACTGTTCACAGTTTTCTTGTATTTCGGGTGATTGGTAAAATTGAACGTATTATTTAAGGAAGTTATGTTCTGTAAGTTTTGGCAAAAAATATCATTTAATTTTTTTAGAAATTGAATTTAACACACTAAAATACTATTTTATCACTATTTTTGAAAAAAAATCAAGGGTTCCTTCCTTTATTTCATATATGTGCACCGCTCAGTTCATAACTTCTAAATATTCTTCTGGAAATTGTATTTTCTGAAGTCATTGCATCTCAAGTCAAGAAAACGCGTTTTTTTCAAAATTGTCTTCATTCATTAACGTTATCTCCATCAAGAGCCACACAGTCGTTCCAGCGTCGCTCCAACATTTCATTACCACTTTGTAGAACGATTTATCCTTTGCCACAAAATAGGATTCATTTTCAGCAATTACCTCTTCATTCGAGCAAAATTTCGTTCCGGTGAGCATTTTTCTGAGGTCTGCGAATAGTCAGTATTTGCTGGGAGCGAAATCTAGCGAATATGGTTTCAAGGGAGCAATTCGAAGCCCATTTCAGGCAATTTTGCCATCGTTTGCATTGATTTGTGACACTGTGCATTGTCTTGATGAAGCAGCACTTTCTTTTTCAAAAACTACACCTTAACGATTTGATCTCCACAAACTTTATTTGAAAGATATATCACAACATGTTTTGGTAAGACATTATCTTTTTCAAGTGATTTGTACTACTTTCTTTTTCTTCAAACTGGGTCGTTTTTCCGTAATTTTGGCCTTCCGACGCTCCAGTAAAGCTATATAACAATCACTGTTGGTGTTATTTTCCTTCTGAAGATAGTCGATGAATATTACACCACGCACATCCCAAAATACCGAAACCATAACCTTTCCAGCTGATTGTTGTGCTTTCGGTCGTTTTGTACGAGGTTTACCAGTTGCTCTCCACTCAAATGACGATCGTTTTGATTCCGGAGTGAAGTGATGGATCCATGTTTCATCCATTGTCACATATCGACGCAAAAATTCCGGTTTGTTATGTCTAAATATGGCCAAACACTGCTCAGAATCATCAAAACGTTCTTGTTTTTAGTCAACAGTGAGCTCGCGCGGCACTGACTTTGAACAGAGCTTCCTCATGGTCAAATACCACTTTGAAGTCAGCAAACCAACGTTCAATTGATGTTTCTGATGGAGCGGAGTCCTTACACTTTTCAATACATTGCTTCGCTTGAAAGGTATTTTTCCCATCAAGGAGCAGTAAATGAAACACAAAATTGTTTTTGATTCATTGTATTGAAAATAACAAAATTGGTGTCACTCTTAGTACAATAACTTTCTTTTAAAGGTCAGTACTAACTGAGTAAGCAATGAATGCATTGAGACTAGCGCCATCTTTGTGTTAGGCCCGAAGCTTTTCAGCCCATTTTTTTTGGTACCTTGGGAGCTGTCTGACTTGTCCATTTAGTCCAAATCTCCAGAAAACTCTGCAGCCTCTTGGGCTTATTGCCTTTCTTCTCCCATCTTCTCATGACACCCATTCCATCAGTCTCGTTCCCTGTACTAGTTTGTACAGGTTCCGTGTTGGATGTTCCTCATATTCTTCTGGACGTAATTTCGTACGTCCATATATTGCCTGCCTCCTGTGATTGAGTGCCTCACATTCGTATAAGATGTGTAGAGCTGTTTCTATCCCTTCGTTGCATAATCTGCAGCGGAGGTCTCCATTATACAGCCCCATTTTATTCAGGTGTCCTCTAAGCGGACAATGACCGGTTAGTAACCCTGTAATCATTCTGAGCCGGTCCCTTCTATATTGAAGTAGTTCTTCGGTTCTTTTCTCGGACGGTTCCCTAATGAAGGTTCTACTGTGTTTGTTACCAGGTACTTTTGTCCAGTACTCTGTGTGCTTCTTATTGGTCCATGTCCTAATCTGGTTTCGTATCAATGATTTTGGTAACCCCAGAGCTGGTTCAGGACCTATATATGAAGTTGATGATCCTCGTCTAGCGCATTCATCAGTTTTGTCATTACCTGTGATTCCTGAATGCCCTGGCACCCAGTACAAAGTTAATTTGTTCCTGTTTGCAAAATCATTCAGTTCTTCATGGTATTCCAGACCAGTTTTGATGTCTCCTTCGGGTTTGTCAGAGCCCCTAGTGCGCTCTTGCTGTCTATAAAAATATTGATCCGCTCATTTCTTTGAGGTATCAATTTAATAAGCCTTGCACACTGCAAGATAACATACACTTCCGCCTGAAAGACGGATGTGTATAGTCCTAGCGGATAGCTGTAGTTTAAATTTCTATCCGCTTGGTATATTACAGCTCCCGTTTCATGTTTGGTCTTCGATCCATCTGTATACCAGGTGTTTTTTCCAAACATGTTTTCGGGATGACTAATGGTCTTCCACTCTTCACGGCTTATGATTTTGGCCGTGAAGTTTGTGTTAAAGGTGTACTTCGGTGTCATATGGTCTGTGGACATATTCAACATGTGCTCCTCCACTTGTTGTTCCGAAATTTCTGTTCGGTCCGATCTTTTGTAGTTCGGTAAGTTTTCCAGTCTGAATTGGCCCATCCTGGCCTTCCCCAACATCACAAAGTGTAAAGGAGGTAGATTAAGGAGTGTTTCCAATGCAGCTGTTGGGGTAGTTCTCATTGCTCCCGTCATTCCCAAACATGCAAGTCTTTGCACCTTGCCTAGTTTGTTGATGGCGATCGCCTGTTTCATCTTCGGCCACCAGACCAGAGATGCGTATGTTATCATGGGTTTAACCACCATCGTGTATAGCCAATATACCATTACTGGTTTTAGCCCCCATGTTTTTCCATAGGTGCGTCTGGCAAGTATCAATGCTACCTCCGCTTTTCTCTTTATCCTGTCCAAGTGTTGGTTCCAGGTCAGTTTGTAATCTAGGATTACTCCCAGATATTTAACCTCCCCTGACACTTGTATTTCTTCTCCTCGAAGTTTAAGAGGTCCGAGGCTCTACGTTTCAGTCCTCTTGATGAATGCTACTATGGTCGATTTGGATGGGCTTATGGGCCCTTCTTCTTCAGTCCATCTTGTTTATAATATTCAGGGTCTGCTGCATGCATCCCTTCACTACATTATTGTATTTACCCTGGACTAAGATGACTAAGGCGTCTGCATAGCAAATTGCTTTATACCCATTGTGGTCCAAGGAACATAATAGCTCGTCCATTACAAGGTTCTATAACAGAGTGGATATAACCCCCCCTGAGGACAGCTACCCCCCTTGCTACCCGTGCCACGACTGTTTCCCCCATTATGGTTGTATATACCAATATTCCCCTAAGTATGCAGTCTATCCACCTACAGCTTGTCTTGTCGATCCCTCTTCTTCTCGATGCCTGGATAATTGATTCTAACGATGTATTATGAAATGCGCCCTCAATGTCCAAGAAAGCAGCTAAAAGTACTTCCTTGTTTTTGTAAGTATGTTCTACTTTTTCTATTACCCGACACAGAGCCGTTTCTGTTGACATACCTGACCTGTATGCATATTGGTCTCGATGTAATGGTCTTAGCCAGTGATACGTCCCTGATATGCCTGTCAAGTAGTTTTTCTATCGTTTTCAACGCAAATGACATGAGACTGATTAGTCTCAAGGCCTTCGTCAAGTCCTGTCCGATTTTCTCAGGTTTCGGAATGAAGGTGGCCCTGATCAGTCTCCAAATTTTTGGTATGTGTCCGAGTGCTAAACTTGCCCTGAGAATTAAGTACTTCCGGTCCCTTTTGAAGCATTACTGGGTATATTTTTAATTTTCTCCAGATCTATCACCTCCTTTGTCATTCGCCAGTCCTCCCTGGATGCCCTTTTCGGGGTCTCCAGTTCTGAATTCGCCCAGGACTCCGGTGTTAGATTTGTAATTTCTGACCCGGGAAAGTGTACCCGGAAAAGCTCTCTAATAGTCTCTCCTCCAGTTTTTGTATACTCCCCCGTATTTGTTTTCAGATTACTTATTGAGACCTGAGGTTCCTTCGAGAGTATTTTGTAGAGACTGGCACATGCTTGGGTCTGTTCGACCTCCTTACATTGCCTTCTTTCAGCCCCTAGCCCATTATTTTTTGTAGTTTCTGGAACATCGAACAATACCAATTTCCAGACTCTTTCAATCGTAATTTTTTACCTTCACGTGAACGGTATATCTAAGGATTTTTTTGTTTCAGGGAATTGTTCAAGGAGTGGCGTTTGCGATAAGTGGAGAGGCAGCTATTCCATATCTCTCTAGAAGAGAATGTCAGCTCGGTGGCTACGAATCCAATTTCACCACTTTCTATCCTGTAAATGGTAAACCTTTCAAAGTATTAACATACGTTGCATCGCCTAAAAACGCTCTTTGGGTGGGCGAAGAAGACGAAAGAAGGACAGCAGAACAAATAATAGATAGCAGAGGAGCAAGCGGACACAACGTTGAATATTTAATTAGACTAGCGAATTTTATGAGAGAACATTTCACCGAACATCATGATCAGCACTTGTTCAAACTAGAAAAAGAAGTACTGGCGTTGATTGCGAAGAGAAATATGTGCCTTACAAGCCTTATGGGTAACGGGGAAGGATGTGTAACTTTCGTCAAACGTCCATCCACAGCTGCTAGATCGGATATTCAAGAAGAAGAAGAACGACCGGGTACTTCTCAATATACAACGAGAATTCAAGGAAAGAAATTGCGCTGCGTAAATCCTTGATTATTTTCTGTGATAAATAGGTTTATGAAGACTAGTTTTCTTATTGCTGTCTGATTTTTCATGTCGTGGACTCGACCAAAAATATTGCGATATGAAGCATGGTCAGTGTTATTTCAGTGATAATGACACATGAAGGAATGAAAGTAGCTTCAGATCGTCAAATTTTGCATGCAAACCTAACGAAATGTTGAATTGTTAAATTTAATTTTTGTGTAGAACAGCACTTTATTTTGAAACTCTTATATACGTTTACCGCAACACGTTTCGCACCTCAGGTTACACTATAATCAAACAGTGCTTCGTGATGTTTCTGATTGTAATAAGAAATTTTGGGAAGAGTTTGCTTTCAGAGTTTCTTTTTGTTCATCTCTATACAAAAATGTGTGTAACTTCCAAAGGAAGGACGATAATAAATTAATTACAGAATGAACTCCATTTGAAAGTTTCCTTTTTTGTGAAACAGTGGATAAATAGAAAACCAAAAAGCCTTTTTAACAAAAGATAAAATACCATTTGAAATTAATAAGGGAGTATATTACGATTTGAAAAATATAGTGAACCCTCCGCTTAGTAAATAACCAAAACACCATTCAAAACAGCATTGAGAAAAAAAAAATAGCAAACATTGTAAGAACGCTAATTTGTGAAGAAAACAAATCATCGTGAGCTGAAATAAAAGTCAATTGATAATAGTGAAACGTCAGTTCTATACAATTAGTATTTGATCTTTCAGTAATAGGTAATTATTACTAAAGTAAAATTTCCTTTTTGTAGGTGATACATCAGGGAAATTAGCACTTTAAGTATTTACAAATTGATCTTTGAGAAAAAACTGAGTGTTTCAACCTACAATGTTTTTTATTCACAATGTTTTCAATCATAACGGTTAGTTATTGTGATTTTCAGCTACTTTCAGTCCTATTTCTGCCAACTTTGATAACTATTTGACACTGACATTGTAATTGTGATTGTAAATCTTCATGACTTTCAAGTTGCTGATTTTTTCTATTTGAGAGGAAGAGAATGTATAGCTCTTTAGGGTAATTTATTTATTTGTACACTGGATCCAATTTAGTTTAATGTATGGCCTGAACTGTGATTATAAATGCATTACTGTAAGATACTAAAATAATTATTCTTGTACACTGTGGTTTCACTTTTTTTTGGTACTGCCTATAATCCCATGAGAAGTGGATGGAGATATTATCTACTTCTCACTATACTATTTCCCGAGTTCAGAATAGAACTAGTATATCCAGTAGTAATAATACCACAGTTAGCACTAAAGAAATAAAAGATAAATTCAAGTGAATCATAGCATTTCAATGATTAAATATATAAACAACTCATATTCGAAATATATAAATATAAAAATAACGCACACATGTGGTCATTTTTTAATATATGAATACATAGTACCATTTTATAAATATAAATAGTCACCTGGATACAATATAAAAAGCATTTGATGCACTCCTGAGAGACATCTATCAGATTTTCGTGGAACAATGAAAAATCTAACCGTAAAGTGGCACCACTCGTACCAGAGAACGATGGATGTATGTATTCATCAAATTTTTATGTTTGTCGAATTTTAACTTTAATCATTATCCAAATATCATTGGTTAGTCAGAAACAAGGTAAAAAGCATTTGATACAATCCTCTATCTACGAGCCATCTATCAGGTCCTCGTGGAACATAATAAAAAATCTAACCGTAAAGTGGCGAGACCCCTACCAAAGAACGATGGAATCATATATTCATGGTTTTTTAATTTTTATTGAGTTTCAATTTTTATTTTTCATTATAACTTTTGCTGAGTGAACTATATTTACTGTAATGTAAGGTTATGCCACAAGTATATATTTCGTTTTTAGTATTTTAGAGTTCAAATTGTATTTTTTTATGTTATCAGGTGACCGAAGCTTGTAAAGTGTTTAGTTGAGATTTATGAAAATGAAAATACATATTCTCCAAAATAATTATGCCAGAATTTCCTGCAAAATTCTTCATAAATTCGTTTACTGCAGTTGATTGATGGAGATGTAGAAAATGTAATTTCGATGATTGCTACCTTTATTGTGAAATTTTTGTGGAGTCTGCCTTCACGTAACACAAACTGGGTGATCAATATACGGTAATATTGATGATGATGATAGACGGTAATTGTTGAATAAATTGATGAATGTAGCCGTTACTACGTGGTAGGAAATCATAATGAAAAGAGAAATGACAATTTCTATGTTTTTTACCACTTTTATATGTAACTAACGTTACTGCAGTTTCGTCCTATTCGGACATTTTCAAACTTATACAATAAACTAAATGATTCATTACATTCGCCATTATATACCACCCCTGTAGGTACTAATAGAAAAAGAGGTACTTGACTTGATTGAGTACCTGAATTTACAGTTCACAATGCGGATGTGCCAATTTAAAAACCAGAGAGTAGATTAAATCGATTTGATCATTTAACAGGTTGCACCCGCAATGTTTATGCTTGTGAATTTCCAAGGATTCTAACTAATTGAGTTTGCAATTCTTCCTTGCATAGTGCAGAATTTCCGTATCGTTTAGATTCGGAAACTTGTGGTTGCATGCCAAGGAATGGTTTGAAAACGTCGAATAATTTTTTCCTAGTCTGAAGGACCTTTCATGTTCAGCATATCGTTTTTGGAAATTTCGGCCACATTGTCCCACATAAACCAATTTATGACATTCATGAACAATCTCAATAGCAACATTCAGTTCACACTCGAAACAGAGATGGAGAAACAGATAAATTTCTTAGACCTGGCCATTACACACAATCAGAATAAATTTGAGTTCAATGTTTTCAGAAAACCTAGCTAAACAGACATCACCATCCCAAGTGATGCTTTCCATTCTGACAGTCATAAATTAGCAGCCTACAATTCAATGTTGCACAGAGCATTCTCACTGTCTTTGTCTGCAGACAATCTAGCTAGGGAAATTGATATAATTACACAGATAGGTCATAATATTGGTTTCAACGCAGATACTATACAGAAGTTAGTCAGGAAACAAAGCCGGAAATTCACTTACAGATCAATATACTCTCAGGTCAAACAACCAGAAATCAAGAAATGGGTAATGCTAACATATTTTGGAAAAAGAACAGAAATTATCGCAGATTTCTTCAGAAAAAACAATGTGGAAGTAGCATTCAGTCCACTTCCTTTTCAATGCCATTCCTTTTCATTGGTAATTGTTGAATTCAACTGGACGCACCCATTGTGATTATACCACGGTTATCAGTGTCAACATTTCCTTAGAGTTGAATAAAAATTGGACCACGACGAAGATTTTGGTACAATTAGTGTACCATTGCATTTTATGATGGTATATCGTACGCCAAATCAAATTAGTACGGCTTATATAACAAATGATGTGTCAGCTGTCAACATCCTTCTCGAATTCACCTTCTCCTTTTATCCCACACCAACCTTCTTACATACAATTCTTACAACCAACGCCGTCTATGAATGAATTTCCTCTTGACCGGGCGGTTAATGCAATTTTTTTTTATGCAGTCCCCAACACCCTTTCCATAATCGGTTTTCGATCCGTCTATATATCAGATGTTTCTATCAAGCATCTTCTCTGCATAGAGTTTTATTCCACATGATAAAGCATTGCACCACATTAAAACCAAGATTAAGTAACAAATATCGACATAATATTGTCAGAAAAATTTCGCTGGCTGTGATAATTTGTTGGACTTCATATTTTACAAAAATATACCTGGAAACATGTTTTTGATTTTTGAGTGGTGTTTCAATTGGTGTACAACTTACTGGCAATAACACCAACAACTCTCACGGGAATATACTCAATAATGTATCTTTTGGTACAGATTTTCAAAAACTTCCAAATTTCCAAGAGATTGTGTAGGTATGGGTTAAAATTCAAACTCCTTAATATTCTAAAAAAATATATTGTCAATCATCCTTGAGAAAGAGAGCTTCTAGTGATCAATAGTCATAACAACAATTTCAACTGAATTGTCGAGTTCTGATAGATTTCCTACTAGAAATCTTGGGACTAGTCTGTTCCGTGAAGCTGAAGCTTTGTTCCAAAGGGTTTTGCAAAATTCCTTCAAATATAATATTTTGAGTTTCTTTGTGGTAAATCATGAAAATGAAAGGCCTATCAGCAATAACTGATAGAGATCCCATCAAAGGCACAACCATGGCGCTTGTTGAAGCTGCTGCTACAGTTCCCTGTTCATCCACCTGTATCTTCGCTTTGTGTATGAGGTAATTTACAACCACGTTGCCGTTTTCTACGATTCCTGACAAATTGGCGTTTGCTCCAAATATTTCTCGTATTTTCAACTGAAAAGAGAAAAAGTTTAATTAGTCATTATCAATAATTCGTCTCTCAAATATGGGAAAGAACTGTTTCTTAGATAATAACCAAACTGAAGTTATTTTAAATACAACTGATGAATTCAAATGAAACTTAGAACAAAAAGAATAATTTCAGAATTTCGGTTTTTGCTCTTTAGAATTATTCATTATTATGGATTTCTGCCGTTACTTTCACATATACATATTATGTATTGCCGCGTATAGTGATATTCCAAAATAATTTAACACATTTCTAAATTTGCTTCATTTTTTAAGGTGAAAAGTTTCTGTAGGTATGGAGTTTGTTGAAGTGATCACGTTGAAATGAGGATTAGAACTTTTTGCGTGCCTCTCTATTATTGGGTTAAGACGAAAGTAGGATATCGCATTTTTGATACTTTTTATAATGCTCCAGATCAAAATTGTCTCCTCCAGAGTTTCATCTTTCCTATTTCCTTTCAGATTTTTAAAACAGATTTCTGTTTGGTTATTAGAATCAGAAGTTTGCATACATCCCTATCAAAGATCGCTTATCAAACGTTATAGACAATTTTACTTCGCGATCGGGATAAAAATCTTTCACAGTGAAATTTCATCTGGAGATATATGTGACTATTGCATATTATGTTCCAGACTTAGCTGAATTTATAGCTAATTTACATTCCTTTGCTGACCCCTTGTACTTTTTGTATTTCACCCAACCTTAGACGTGTCGTTGGATATTGTGAGCTTCACCTCAAAGCCAATTTTAGTTCCATTTGTACTAGTAGCTATTAATTCAATTTCATTTTTAGTTGAAGCAACTGATCTAGTTCCTGTATCCGAAATTTCACGTTGGGGTGTTTGTTCTGGTTTTTGTTTTACTCCCCATTCCTGCAACGCAAATTTTAGTTTGATATCATTGCCATTGGGTATTAGTTCTCTTGATCAAGTTATAACCGTTAAAGTATTTCAGTATTTTTTTTCAATAGCTACTATCCATTCTGCCGCTGTGCCCAATTGTTATGTGTATGAGTCTTCACTGGAATGGCACAATATAACCTGAAATCGAGAATTTCATTTTTATGGCAGAGGACGGACGAGTTAAAATATCTCTTAGGGTTGGAACGAATGTCGCCATATATTCGGAGCTCGGAGCTCATGTATAATGTATATTGGTCCTATACCTTATCTCTTTCAACGATTCATCATCATTGCGTTATCAAATGGAAGGGTTGACTAGCAAATGTCAACATTACTTACGAGAGAAAAACAAATACTGTTTTGTTCGAAGCGATATAGAGTGGTACAATGACGTTTATAATATAGGTACTTTGGGCTAACATTTTTGTTTCATTTATTAGATAATCTAATGGGTTGAAAGATGTCCGCTGTGGTTTCAAGCTCTCACTGGTAACTTTATAGTTGCTTGATATCACTTTCAAAATGATTTTAATCAAGACTGGATTTATGCTTATAAAGAATTGAAAAAATACAGAACCTTTAAGGTATATCCACTGAATAACACAAGGTTTGTAAATTTTCACTTGCATATTCCTTTTTTTTTGTCTTGCAACACTGACTATAATTTAACTCTTTACATATATACTTTGGTGTTCAAAAACATGTCGATACTAGCACGATGAAATTACATCTGAAAAATCAACAGCAATTTTTTAATCGCCAATATGTCTTCTATTTTTCCGGCAACAATTGAGTATGAAATTGAGCACATTCGAATTTTTTAGTAACCGCAACTGAATAATCTGTTGCGATTTTTATTTTTTTGATTGAAGAGTTGCCAGTGTATGGCTGTCTTGCTTTCAATCCAATATTACACTTGTAGTATTTGTATCTGTAGAGTAGGGAGAGTGAGTGTAGGCTCACAACACTTAGGCCACATGTGACCCATTATACGTCCTCCCGAGGAGTTGCCCTCCTAGGTCATCATCCATCCTCGCCTTTCCAGGAAGGTGGACAGGTCATTGGGAGACATCTCTATTATATCAGCAGGTGTAGGCCAAGTCTCGCCGAACACACACTCTCTTATTGACGATAACTCCGGACACTCACATTGGACATGCCTGATAGTTTCATCTTCCTGTTCACATATCTTGCATAGAGGTGCGTCCACTGGTCCGATATTATGGAAGTGGTTCCTTAGTTGACAGTGGCCAGTCAGAAATCCTACTGTTAAACGTAGATTTTTCCTGGTCATCGCCAGATATTTCTTCGCCGCCAGCTTCCCAGGGTCGCCCAGGGTGATCCTGGTAAGACTGCATCCTTTGATTTCAGTCCACCTCTTCAGGGATTGAGCATGGGTGTGACGTTAGGCTAGTTCCGCAATTGTTGAAGTCATCAGGCCGTAGGTGCCACTGGGTGCTAAAATTATTAGTCCAGCCGCTTCCTTGGCTAAAAAATCAGCAATGCGATTACCTACACTCCGGTCTTGCCCTTTAACCCACCACAGGATGATGTTATTATATACCGAGGCTTTGGCTAAATCTTGGTGGCACTCTAGTACTAGCCCTGAAGTAACTTGTAGTAGTAACAGTAAGTTAATTCAAAGTCACTTCATACTATTTCTTTATTTTATTGTCTTGCAACACTGGCTATAATTTAATTGTGTACACATATACTTCGGTGTTCAGAAACATGTTGATACTAGCAGAATGAAATTACATCTATTTTTTCGGCAACAATTGAGTCTGCAATTGAACGCATTTGAATTTTTTAGTTGCCGCAACTGAATAATCTGTTGGGATTTTTATTTTTGTGATTGAAGAGTTGCCGGTGTGCGGCTGTCTTGATCTCAATCCAATATTGTATTTGTAGTAGTAACAGTAAGTTAATTCAAAGCCACTTCATACATTTATAATTCAATGAAAACATAGAATCGACCTAGAGAATTCGGTGAGTAATAATCTATATTTTCTGAAAACTTCTTCGACCAGTTCTACAATAATAATAATTATTATTATTGTAGAACATACGAACTTAACATCCTCTTATATACTGAGAAGACAAAGACAACCATCCTGCGAAAATTGCCAAACTTTGATGACGGTTAAACACCTTCTCTTAGAATAATTTAGGAATCTCGAGAATAATATCGGAAGGTTTCAATTTTTCCAAAATATCTGTTAGTCGCCAATGTGGTAAATCTCGAACTACCATTCGTATATTCGCCTCCTCTGATGGCAAAAGTATCAGCATTGAAAATTTATCCTGGAAATCAAATTTCTAATCAACAAATAGGTGGCCACCAGAAGTAAAAACGACTTTGAATGAATGAACGATTTCAGGTTGCTAAAATGAAAACTATGGGCACATGAGAGTCACTCTTTAGAATTTATTAAAACGTATCGTCATTCAAATCGTTTCAACAGTCAATGGGCTATTACTTCCAACGAATATTTGAAATACAAACTGAGTAAAGAAAAGTATCTTCTGTATGATTCAGTGTTCATATAGAAGTATTTGTTTCGAAAGAATTTTTTCTTTCGTGTAATTCAATGTTTATATGAAAGAAGCTGTTTCAGGAAGACTTTCTTTCAGTTTGTGTCTGATAGTTACTTCTTTGCATGATCTACACATCCATGTATAGAGTTACTTATTTCCAAATTGATTACTTCCTTTCTTTCTTTGGAAGATTCCCTCATTTGTATCGAGATGGAGTAGTAGAAAGCCAGAAACTTTCTTTCCCAAAAAATTTATCACTTCTATATATTCACATCTATATAATCAGTATAAACACACTACACTCGTCACATACTTGTCAGTCCTAACTTAATTGTTCTGAGAAAGTACTTGTCCCACGAAAGATGGAACAAAAAATTCACTTCCCCCGAACCATAACATTGACGTGGACAAGACAGATTAGGTTGTCATTGAAATAAATTGAGGTAATGACAAACTGAAGCAAATACAACCCCTCTTCAATGAAAAGTGAAGATTTTAGGATTTAACACCAATTATTCCACCATATGGTTGAATTCACAAAATAAATTTGCAACGATGAAAGATCATTTTTTTTGTGAACTAAAACAGCTCTCAACAGAATAGCGGTACAACTTTTTTTTCAAGGACAAAACACAAGCACTACAGGAATATTCTTAAGGCGCTCTCTGAGCGGTGCCTGTGCGAAAGTAGCAATTCACATTGGACTTGAATCGGTGGAGATTAAATCTGTTTAGAAAAACGTTCTTAGGAAGTTTATTCCACATAAATGCCGTTCTTGAACAGTGAAGTTCGAGGTGTACTGAGTTGAACCTCAAAACAATGAGCAGCCACAGTCTGTCGCATATTTCTGATATGTACCGCTCTTGGTGGAATCAAATGTGACAAGTCACTTGAACACCTCCCGTGACTATCAAGGTTGCAAGTGATGTTCGTGTCACCAGGTGGTGGGCTCTTTTCTGGATGGAATCCAGGAGCTTCAGGGTTTGCTTAAAGGCGGAAATCCATACATAAGAACGATACTCCAAAGATCTGATCTGAGCTTTATAAAGCATCAAAAATTGCTGAGGTTTGTGCAGTTTTCTGGTTCGGAACAGTGTGCCAAGCTTTTGAGAAGCAGCCGTCGCTATTCCAGCGACATGATTGTGTCAAGACATAATGGTGTCCATTTTTGTCCACATATCACATATATCTTGTAATGTTTTGAACAAAGAGAGAAAATATAGCCACAAACGTTATTAGGCTCTGATAACAATTATTATTTTTTCAAATCTCTCGATAAAATAATTAGAAAATGTTCAAACTCCAGAAGAGAAAAAGAAAACACATTCTCGATACCAATCCTATTATCATCTTTGCAGCTGGAATGCATGCAATATAGATGTATTCAGGAAGACTCTACATATATTATCATCAGACAACAATGAAAACTCTAAAGCATGTACTTAAGTGAGTCTCTGACTTGTGAATCCAATTGATATGGAAAACAATCAGAAGAGAAACAACGTCAATAAGAAAGGTAGTGCCCTCGCAAAATCCTTTTCGAGATCTAAATGAAAGAGAAATTCTGAAGACGGAAACTTGATCATGGCAGTTGAAGAGTGTGTTAAGATACAGGCAACAGCTTAGGGTTGAACTTCTTGATAAACGGCTCTTCTTGAAAGATCCTTGTCCACTGAGATACTTCATCAGTAAAAAAAGAGCAGAACACTTGATTAGAATTCCTCATAATCAAGAACCTGGTTCTCAAGAAACACTTCAACATAATAGTGGAAATCTCCCCTCGTAAGTTGTGGAATATCACTATTATAATGACATGAGTATATTAGAAATATCGTCAAGGCAGCACTGAAAAAAATGATCTGCCTTTCTCAGAAGTAAAGTATAAAATCGAAGCGTTCTCTGATGGTTTCACTCGACGGTTTCAGAACATAGCACAAAAATTGGAAATATCATTCTAAGTGACCCTTTAATCTCCTTTCAGAAAATAATAAACCCATGAGTTTCTAATTCGGGTTGAGACCCTTGAGGACAATCAACAGTGACCTGATTAAAATGAGTGGCATATGCTTCCTAACTTATCCTCCTTTTTTGTGATTGAGTTTACAGGATGAAAAATAAATTGGAAATTGTAATGGGTCATAAAGTATGTCAGAATCAGTTTTTTAAGGGAAAAAAGTCCTTGATATCATAGGATATTAGTACCTATTATCCCCTCATGGAACTCAAACCTGTTGCAGACCAGAACTTGAAATTCAGAAAGTAAGTGTTCTGTAATTTCAGCACCGCAGTTGAAATAGCTGAAATGACTCTTTGAGAGTCTACACAAAGGTTCCAGTCCAACCTTATATTTTCTTTCTTTACAATGGTATCAGCTTCCTCATTTCCTTCAATTTCATCTTGATATCTAATTTTCAGTTGTTTGAGAGAGGTTTTGCAGTCCCAAGTCAATTTAGACTCACAAGTAAGTGATTTTGGAGCTTTTAGTGCTACTAAGCTGCCTGATGAAATATACATACTTGCACCACGAGTACCTCTGAGAAAAGTGAGATCTAGAATTTTCATGTCTCTACAAAGATCTCATGGTTTTCTATGAGCTTTCGAGTGATTCCTAAAGCCACTAATTCCTACTTCTTTCATCACAGAAACGTGTAATGGTGAAAGATTGAGCATTACCTCTACAGCAGCTATGGACACAAAAATATTGTTCCTGTGTTCACCAAGCAGGTGAGTATGGCACTTTCTGCAACTTGAATACCGATGGTTATCATATTATTTGCTACCATTTTGATGAGATATAGGTAGCCATAGGTTTGATCACCATTTTATGCAACCATTTTTGGTTTCAAACCCAAAATAGTCACAAACTTTATATCAAGGTTACTGCTGTAGCAGTAACCTTATGATTGGAGAGAATTTCGTTAACGTGATTATTCCAAGTCAGGTTTCAGTCGACAATTTTTTTTATTTTTAGTTTTACTAATCTTAACAATACAAATGTACATTTTTAGTCGAATAAACCAAAACCCATGTCGTCGTCTTCTGATTCTGATTCCTCTTTTTTCTCTTCTTTCTTGGATTATTTCTTTTCTTCAGCGGCTGCTGGTGCTGCAGAAGCTGCAGCACCAGCTCCTGCTGCTGCAGGAGCTGCTCCTGCAGCAGCAGGAGCAGCTCCTTCAGCTGGCATGAAGCTCAACTCCTCACGCCCTTGGGCAATGAGTTCATCAATAGATTTTCCACCTAGTTCTGCAATGACCTTTTTCAACCGTTCTCCTTTGGCTTCAATTCCTACAGATCCTAGGTTTTTTCAATATCGGCAGCAGTTGGGGAATTGTTTCCACCCAAAACGGCCAAAAAATAAGCAATTACGCCCAAGTATTCCACCTGGAAAATGTTGTTGAGAAAAGTACATACTTCTGCCTCTTCGATAACGGGTAAGACTTTCTCGTCAGCTGGCACATACTTCTGACAATAAAGCTGCTCGCACAAAGCAGCTCATTAGCGGATCATACAATTTTTTGAAATTCACCTACCTTGACATGGAGAATAAGGAGTTAAAAATTATTTTTTATCATGTAGTGATAATGCCAACTTGCCGAAATTTGTGTCTGTGCATTTTATGTTAAAGGCTTCACTAATATTTTCGTAAGAGATTTAAATATTTTCTTTGAGAACTAACCTGATATGGCAATTCCACGGCATGAACTCTCAAATTAGTTATATAACTGTACATGAATGTATCAGATATGTGCATCATAGGCGCCGAAACACATTTTCCCGCAGTATGGAAGCACTTGTTTCCTGTATTTTTGGGGTCAAATTGAGTCTTCCATTTTCCTTTAAAGTATAGTGCGTTAGCTATTACAGCAGTAGATTCGGGGCTGAGATTTTCTGAAACAAAGAAAATTAATTAAAATACTTTCCACCAATAGGCGTACAAATTCTCATAGAACTCGTTTAAATGAACAAATATCAATGATATTTTGGAAATCATACAGGGCCGATTATTTTTCTGAAGAAATTGTGCAACATTCTCGTGTTTTTATAAATTTTCATTTTTTTTATCAATGTTTCTAAATAAGGTTTCTACATAGGGAGGAATGATAATGACACTGTGAAGAAACAAATGAAGTTATTTATTTAAATAAATTACACGAAATTATGATGAAAAAATTATCTCATCCAATTTATCTAAATCAGTATGTGGCACTTATTTCACTAGCTGTTGGAACAGTCAACACCAAAATTCAGTTGAAGCTCTCACCAATCATTGAAATGCATTCTCATTATTGTTGCATAAACTCTTTGACAGAAAATATGGCCAATTTTTCATTTTAAATATTTTTATATTTTTCCTGCCTTAGTAAACTCACCACATGAACAGCTTTGTTAACTTTGTTATTTAGCAATACCATGAGAGTATAGCCGAAGTAACCTGTATTGTGAATAGTTAAAGCTATCGGCATCTCAAAGGCCAAAAAACCAATACAAAAAAATAATGCCGCTGCCAACTAGTCCACGTCGACTAAAGAATTGGTAGTTCGTATTGGACAATTTTTACCAACCGAGTTTAATGATTGGCCGAAAAGTCATAAAATTGAATTTGAAGTCATGACGGTGACGAATAGAATGTGGAGATGAGTATCGCCATTGTGTCGTCAATGTTCAGTTCAGGAACTGATCGCGATTTGAGTATTGAAATTCGACATTGGTGCAGTTATAATTACTTAAAATTTTTGTTATCTGTTTAAAATGTAATAACGAGTGTGATGACAACGCAGACATTTTCCTGTGTAGTGATTCCAATAGCGATGGTTAACAATGCGAAAAAAAAATATACCAGTGAATAAGATTCGGGTGCATTTGAATATTGAAACATAGAGAGTATATTTCAATGTATATAAGAATCTACATCTCGAATTTGGTTTCGAGGGAAACAAACTGTTACAAGCAACATCAGATTTGACCGAAATTCATTTTTCAACTGTACGTGAAATAGTCAAAAATAAACCTTATGAACGCAAGACGTGATGTCATACAGGATTACCAAAACCTTCAGATGTTCATCTAACAAATTCATTGAAAAAAATAGTATACGACTATTACAAAAGCAATGAAATTCCTACAACTGAAATCATAAGGAAGAAATTGAATATTTCCGGCCATAACGTGAGCTGCTATGACAAAACTCCTCAGAATTGGATAAAAAAACTAGGGTTTAGATTTAAAATAATATAAACAGACGTCAAGCAGCTACGGAATGCAGAGGAATAGTAGAATTGCGTAACAAATATTTAGAACAAATAACTAAATACAGACAAGAACAACAGCAAATTTTCTATTTGCACAAAACTTGGTATGACACTCACGACACAGTTACGAAAGAGTGGACTGATGGTTCGAGAATGTGCACGCCTAACATGCCTGCAAACAAAGGATCGCGACTAATCATTGTACATTGCGGAGGAAGTAAAGGATGCGTTTCGAATTCTTTGAAATTATGTGAAAAAAAACTTGAAGACTGCAATGTTGACTAACATAAGAACATGGAAGCTAATATTTTCGAGGAATGGTTTGAAAACACATTTATTCCAAATTTGGATGCGAATAGTGTAATAGTTCTTGACAACGCTTCGTATCATTCGCGATAACTCATCAAAGTACCGAATAAAAATTCGAGGAAAGATGAAATAGAAAACATTCGAAAAAGTGTATGCCCTTGAGAGTATTGCTGAAAAATATGGACACACCATACTGAGACTTCCCCCCTATTTTTGTGTTTTCAATCCCATCGAGTTGATTTAGGGAAAATTGAAACGAAGCATAAGGTGTAAAAATAATTTTCCAAAATTTGATTAGAAGGTAATAGGGCTAGTTGAAGAAGAAGTATCTAATATTACCGAAGGAGACTGGCAGAAAAAGATTAAAAAAGTAATTTTAGTTGAAAAAGACTATATGGAGATTGGACACTTCCATATTAATGGTGGAAATAAATTCATTATTGATTTAAATGACGACAGTGATATCTTTTTTGGCGGCCAGTTTACCCTATTTTCATCATTTTATCGCTTTGAAGAGAACAATCTCTCACATTATCAAGTTCATAAAGTCGATAATACTCACGTGTTGAAACTATTTCTTTGATAGCTCCATGAGTAGAATCAGAAACCCATTGATTTATGATATTAACAGTCGATCCAATGTTTTTGAAATTAACGCTTTTGAATATGGCACCGTAAAATTGTTTGACTACGTTTTGGTAGCGCTCCACTAATTGGTTATTATTTGAAAAGAAAACACCGTTATAACTCTCCAGTAAAGTTGAACTCGTTGACTTCTCCTAAAAAAGAACAATATCGATATGAGGAAGAATACATGTTGATTAAATGTCAAATTTCAAATTTGATGACGTTGAATGTTGTGTAATACTTACATTCAAATTATTCAAAAGTCCCAGTAAAATTTCCCTCACACCTTTGTCGTTGATATCAGGTATCCTAAGAGCTTCGCGTATTTCTTCAGCGGAACTACCTGCAGCTCCTTCTAAAATCATGGCTAATGTTGTTTTCACACTAGCGGGAGATAATAAAACATTTGTTGTGGAATCACTGAATGCCTGAAAAATTTGTAACGTTTTTCTATGCATTTTCGATTTTTTACATGTGCTAGTAACATAGAAACACTAATGGAAATATTCAATATTCGAGGATTTTCATGAAATCGTATTTCATTATTTTGAATTGTCTAAGAAATTTTCCTTCATTCATCTATTTACCGGAATTTTTATATTCCTGATGATTTATATGTTCCAATGAAACAATATCTCTTCAACTGTCACCCAATATTTTCCCTATTCAATTCACATCTGTACGCTACTGATCGCTATCGTATTTTCTATAAACTGTTCCTGTCAAATAACCTACTTTATTTCCTGTTGTGATATCGTGTTGGCAATAAACAAATATATTTCTCTACGAATCCATTAATGAAAAAACAACGAATATCAATGAAAACTATTTCAAGAGGGTGCAGATTATCCACAGTTTTTTTTAGATATAAAACTGGAAGATATTCGATATTAAAAAACTATTTTTCTCTACGCATACTCAATTATACAGAAATTAGAGCTGGTGACAGCGATTTCTGAGTAAATCAATATCCGTATGGGGAGGCCGTCTGCAGTCTATTCCTCACACGTTTCCTCAAGAAATTTTCATTGATACCTACTGTCTTCGAATTTTCTGATTTCTACATAATATTGGAGAAGTAGAAAGCTAAATAGGCGTTTTCCTCAAGATAGTTGTTTAAATACGGCCAAGCTCTAAAAAGTATTAACTCACATTAAGTAACTCTACATCAAATAAGTTGAATCTGTATGATATATCCTCTACATTAGCTTCTTCAGGTTGCAGATATTCTGGATCAAGATTTGGTGATAGGACTGGTTTATCCTGAATAGCAGGATTCAATTCCTCGACTGGTATGAATCCCTGCGCATTTGACGGTTGGGCTGCTGTAACAAATTCAAACTAAGATGCAAGACACCTGAACTTGAATATTAAAATAAACTTTTTATGAAGATGCACAAAAACTGCATGATAATATGCAAGTCGCTGTTTTCTATTTGAAATAATTCATAAAACCTGTAGTTTGGAGGTATTGGCTTGAACCCCAAAGCTTTGCTGAATTTTGCTACGTATATAGTTCACCAAGCTTTTTGATAACACCTGGACTTTTGTATTCTTCGGGGCAGGAAATGGGGTTAGATGATGAAGAAAAACGAGTATCGACCTCATAGCACAGAAGAAAATTAAGGAGAAGAGGAAAAGACAGGTCATTGGGAATTGAAGTAGGCGCTAATCTGAAATGATGGTTTACTATTTGAAACTTTATACAGCTTCATCGAAGATCGTTTTTTGTGACCATAGATTATTCTCTCTCGAATATCTTCGTCGTTGCCCAGGAATCCATACAAAGATTTATTAGAAAACATAAAAAAATTCTACATATTGTCTGCACACTTGCTTGGTCTTACAATTCAAAAACTGAATTTGGTAATCATAATTTTTGCAATTTGAAGTGAAAACCAACCACGTATACAAGGTGGGACTTTCGTCAAATATTTGGTTTTGGTTCATACATTTTTAGAATTGATGTTAATCTATTAGCCTTGGTTGAGTGGTTGAAGAGCGTAAGCTGAACTCTGTCAAGATAAAAATGAAGATAATTTATTAATAATATTATATGATGAAGAAGCATGATAAATATGGAAACACCAAAACATTTAACTACGCTACCTTCCACAGTATCGTATAATTTGGTAAAATTTTGAGCCAGATCAATAGATGAAACTTCCATATTTTTGCTGCAATAAACGAGCAGTTAGAACAGTTTTTGGTTTCAGCTATAGAGACTCATGCAGGTATTACTTCGTAAACCACAACATTTTTATTCCCATCAACTTATAAATATACGAGTATAAGGTATCACTTCTAATTCATTAAAAACGCGGATCTTTGTTACATCCAAAAAATATAAATAATTATTCAACCTGAGCTCAGTCTGCCATCCTATCCAACTACAACTAGGTTCAACAAAACATGCAAGGGACCTCTTTATAGTGGTGTCAAAATTTATAACCATATTCATTTCCTATATATCAATCAACTAGTCATCTTCTTCCTAAGCTTTATACATAATGACCATTCACTCTGAAATATTGTGATGAAATGTAAGAAATGTAATATTGGTATTTTGGAAAATGAATATTTTTATCTATAAAGACTTGATGCATGTTCGTTCAAATAGGCATTAATCACACTAAGATAATAATCGCCAGCAAATTATTATCTTGACCTCCAGACGTAATTGACGAGCTATTCCACAGACGAATCAGTGAAGGAAGATTACTTTCCAAATTATTTTTAAAGTAACGCTTTATTGTGAGATTTCCACTAGATAGTTTACAGAACCGTGGCATATGTTTCGCTATAAAATAGCTTTCTTTCACGTTTTCATACTTAGTTCCACTTAATCTGTGCTTGATACATCATTTGATCTTCTACCTAGGTAATGACTAATAACTGTACGTGAGTTTAGGTAAAACTAGGTGAAATTTTTAAATATCATAAAAGAAAATTATTCTAACTCCTTAAATGGACATGTACAACATAACAATTTGGATGATATGACTACTTAATGACTGATAATTTTACTTGAGTTTAGGTAGATACCGATTGAAAATTTAAATGAACCTGTAATAAACTAACTACCAATTTCCACATTAGAAAACATATTCAGAAGCGGAGAAAAATGCAATTCTATTTGGTAATTCAGTAAATTATCATAATTTTTGAATCTATTAATTTCTGAGTACTCCAACAGATTGACTTTCAAATCTTTCTCTTCCAAATGTTACACGTCATAGTCGTCCTTGAACTAATGACCCTCTCTCAAAAAGTTATTTGCAAATGTGGAATTGGTCTTCACATTCAAGAAATTACTCCTATGTTTTTTTATTCTTTAGGAAAAGGTTCTTCCCGTTTGGCCAATAAAAAGTTTTGGGTAAGAACCACAAGTCAACTTATATTCTCCTGATCCATCCGATACTGGAAATGTGTCTTTATTGTTTTTAATAAACTTGCTTGATTTATTATTTGCCCAGCGTTTTTTGAAAAAGACAGACTTGGACTTGGCATACCGGACAAATAATATTTTGAGCAAATTTATTGAAAACAATGAAGACAATCAGGATAGGTCTGGAGTAGTTAAGTTGACTCGTGGTTCTTGCCCTAAACTTTATATTTTCCAAACGGGGAGAACCAAAGTATAAATGAACGTAGGTGTAGTTTCTTGAATGTGGTTTCAATTCCACATTTGCAAACCACCTTTTGATAGAGGGTCATGAGTTCAACCATGACTTAAGGTATTACATCTGAAAGAGAAAGATGAAACTCAATTTTTGGAGTGCTTAGAAATTAATAGATTAAAAAAATTTTGATGATTTACTGAAAGACCAAATCGAATTGAATTATTCTCCTCCTCTGAATCAGTTTTCTAATGTGGAAATCGGTGTTTAGTTTATTGAAGGTTCATTTAATCACTTCAGAAATCTTCAGTTTTAGTTTTTCAAAAGGAGAAAAATATACGGGCAAAATAGTAGTTTTTTTAGTAAATAGCAGGGCACCCTGCCATCACTAGGCAAAGAAGCCCAGTCCTAAGACAAAAAAGTTACATTTGAATTAGAAAACATAAATGAAGGCACAAACGTAACATCAAAGCTAACCAAACATTGAAGGGAGTAGTTATCGGCACCTCTTGGCATTTATAAGGTTCATTACATTTATAAGATCTATCATGAATGCAACGCTCTATTATCATATGTTTGTAGTGAAACTACAGGGACACATAGAAAGCAACTTTTCATTCGGCACTAACGAAATCTACTACATGAGCTGAAAAGTCTCGGAACTAACACACAGACGGTACTAGTCTTATTGCATTCACCGCTTTTTCAGTTAATACTAACCTCCCAAAGAAAGCTCTTGATATCTCATGATATTCTACTCATAAGTTTATGAGTTATTTTGCTGAGAGTGACATGGCTTTTGTTGTTTTCAAATCAATGGATCAAAACCAATTTCGTGTTTTAATTTTACAATACTTCTTGATGAGAAAAAAATACCGTTAACGTTGATTTGCTGACTTTAAACGTGGTCGTAGAGACACCAATGACGCAGACCGCAGTGGACGTCCAAATGAGACAGTAGCACCAGAGAGGGGAAATACCATCATCAACAGTAAATATTATATAGCGTTATTGGAGCGTTTGAAGGCCGAAATTACGAAAATACGACCCCATCTGAAGAAAAAAAGGTGCTGCTTCATCAAGACAATGCAAAATGTCATAAATCAATGAAAGCGATGGCAAAATTACATGAAATTGCTCCCAATAATAACATATTCGCCAGTTTGAAGTGGTTGACAATGTTTCGTGGTGTATTTCATCAGTTCGGGCTTCCATTGTCTAATATATATAATGATTTGAAATCCCTGAAAAAAAAATTAAAAAGATTAACCGAAAATAACAATTTTATTAAACAAAAAACTGAAATTACAAAGCAATAACATATAAGCAACAACCAAAAAAATAAAAAATTGAAATATGAATAAAAGTTGAAAATTAAAAAATAGAAAATATTATCAAAAAAAATGAAAAATGAAAATCAAAAGATTCCAAACCAAGTTACGNCATTGTAAAAGCAGAGCAATAGCAGCTTGGAAGTGGCAACTCAATTATGTTTATTAAATATGTAAATGAAGGCGGACTCAAAACCATTTGATGAGACGTTTACGCTAATGATTATTCATTGGGTATTTCAATGGATACCTCTTATATGCAGTAAAAATGACGTATTTTCCTAAAAGTTCACAGTTGGAATAAAAAAAATCGAAACTTTTGGTAATGATGAAAAACCAATTAAATTCATACTACCCCCTTCAGAGGTAGATTCTACGATCGTTAGACCTGAAGTTTTCAAAATAAGAATGCTCAACTCATCAAAATATTTGACGAAAATCCATCAACACACCTTTGTGAAGAGTTATCATTAATATATTTCTTACATTCTCAAGAAGTAAAAGAACTACCTCTCTCTTTATATGTTGGTGAAGAAGTAGAAACTCAAAACCTAATTTCTTTCTTTTCAATGAATGAAATTCCTATCAAAGTAACAACAAGTACTTATGAAGGATTCACTATCGTTGTGATGGAATATAGTCATCTAGTCCAATGTCATATAGTTGTTTTTTTATGAATTCAAAAGGTGTTGAGATGAAATGGTGACAAGTGTTTTTGTCCAAAACTTCCGAAAGTCCACCTTGAGAACAAATGTCTCTTGTAAGTGAAATTTTGTACCAATAATTTATCTTTCATAATTCCATTACGAACATCTGGTGCACAAACTGAATAAGAAAAGGAAATTTTCGAGTAATTTCTTTGTTTAGAAGCTTCCACTTGTTATTGATGGAGAAACAGAAAACCAGAGAAGTTTTGTCCCCAAAACTAATTTTTACTCAAATACTCCCTTTTCAACTAACCATTCTTCCACAATTTTTTTGACCTCACAATTTCGGTCTTTGCTACGAAGTTGTAGGAATATTTCAAATTACTATTATTAAAAAAAACTATTCTGTTGAAATGTTACACTTGTTTCCTATTTTCAATCAAACTTGATGAACCTAACTGTCAGATAACTAACTGTATTAATGTCCATGTTTGAAAAAACTACATACAAGTTCAAATCTATATGTTTTGTTCAATTTCCTTCAGAAGTACTATACAGGGATTTTTGGTTCGATGAATTGAAACATTTATGTCACCAATATTCCCTCTAATGGGGATTCTCAGGTTTTTCAGGTCGAAGACTAGACCTTATTAGTATTTTTGACAATACTAATAAATACAAAATCAATTTTATTTATTTAGGGTTCACACTGAAGTCGATTGACTTT